GATGCATCATTGGTCTGGGGAGACTTCTCAGAGAGTAAAGTGCTTATCACACAATCAAGACCTGAGTTTGATACCAAGCAGCCATATAAAAGAGCTAGTTGTGATGATATGCAACGGTGCAACACTGGAAGACTGGATACAGAAGTATCTCTTGGACCTGCTGCTGATCATCCAGTCTGGCCTTCTCAGTGAGCTCTCAACCAATAAGAAATTCTATCTTCAAAAATAAGATAGATGACTCCTATGTAACAAAACATGAGGCTGTCCTCTAAGTCCGCATATATACAGTTCTGAAATATGTATGACAAGCCAAAGAAGCCTCATATAAAGTTAACATGCAATACAGTGAATGGAAAAAAAGGATTTGTAGTTGAAGTGATAAGAGTATCATTTCTAACAGAGGTGATATCTGAGTTAAGTCTGAAAAATAAGTAGAAAAGATCAAAGAGTGAGCTGTCTAGACAATCACAAGTTTACAGGGACGCACAGAATGGAGTTGGGAGCAAGTCATACCATTCAAGACATTTTAAGAGGTCCAAGATATGGCAGGACATTGTGAGAAGGCAAAGAAAATTGGGTTAACAGATGTTTAACTTCACTTAAGAAAAAAGTCAAAGGATTGAAATTTATTTTCATTAATTCTTTTAAGAAATACTTTTCAATCCTCTTTATACATCTTTATATATAAAAAAATAGATCCCAACCCCAAAATCTACATCCTTCTTCTGCTATGGGAAGATATTACCAAAAAATAGAAGTATAATATACGATATTTGAAGTTAACATCCTACAGTACAACTATAAATAAAGCAGAGGAGCCAAGATAACTACATCAGCTTAGGTGACACCTGAGTTTACAGTTAACAAAGGTGTGAGGAACATAAGAGAATTCATGAAGATGTCTAGCTATCTTCCGATAAGGAGATAGTAGTGTCTAAGGCTGAGGATCAGCAACACAGCCTATGAGAAAATACAGAAGGCCACAGTAGACAAGAAAAGTCTCAACCATGCACAGTCTTGCTATAATTGAAATAAGAGGACATGGACCCCACTAGCACCATGCAAAGATGGAAGATTTGAGAAGTAGAGGTCACAGCTAATACACGATAAACTATTTTCTAGATGAAAAGATTCTGAACAAAGTCATTCATTTGACACAGCTTTCTTTTTTTAAGATTTATTTATTTACTTACTTATTTATTTATTTAATGTATATGAGTACACTGCAGCTGTCTTCATACACACCAGAAGAGGGCATCAGATCCCATTACAGATGGTTGTGAGCCACCACGTGGTTGCTGGGAATTGAACTCAGGACCTCAAGAAGAACAGTCAGTGCTCTTAACCACTGAGCCATCTCTCCAGACACTGCTTTCTTACATATTAAGCAAGCACAAAATTAGGACACTGTGCCACATATCACGAATATAACAAAGATAGTGGTGGATGGATTTTTCTTGGGAAGCCATGAACAAAACTCTACTATTGTCTGATGGAAGACCAAGACAGACAAAGATGTTGACACAAGAAGCTTAGATAATTCAAAAGCAGTGACATCACCAAAAAACCTCACTGCAGCTTGGTTAATGGCACCCCCATGGCTGTACAGTTGGCCTTCATGATTCAGTTAGCTCTGTGTAGTTATCCTCTGTATGTTCTCAAACCTACCAAGACCATGTGCAAATGGAACAAAATTTTACACAGCTTGAAGGAAAATGTAGGAGAGTGGATGGAATCTCATGAGCATCTAATGACCCTCTCCACCCCTCCTACTATGAAGTACAGTCAACAGGACCAATCTTGAGAGCCTGTTATGAGTTTATCATGACTTCTCTATTTAAAATGGTAATAATGGCTGTTAGGATTGGAGGACATAGTTCTACAACAGAGAAATTTAAACAGCCTTCATGTGAAAAAGCTTCTATATAGACATATACACTGGAATTATATTTCAAATATAAAAACAAGTCTAATTTTAAAGAAGGGACCATTCCTTCAAATTGAAATTACATAAACAACCCTTTGTACACTTCCTAAGAAATAGCTTTCAGTGCAATTCCAGTCAGTATTCTTGCCACCCATGACTTCCTTTGAGAAAAGTGATTGGTTAGTTTTGTGTCAAAAGAAACCATTCAAACATTCAGGCAGTGAAGGAAAGAGAAAACATTCAGGGGCTTTTCATTCCACCCATCATGATAAGTCACAGAACACAGACTACAAGAATAATTAATTCAAATACAACCATTCGTGGATAAATTAATTTAGGAAGCACTGGAAAGCAGAGAGCAGTCCAAAATGACCAATATTGTCTATAACCCAGACAAAATCATTTTCAAAACAAATTGCTGGTGCGTGAAGATATCATCACTTGTAGCTGGATGGCTAGCTTTAGTACCCCTATAATGATGAACCCACTGTCTCAGAGGACAGATAGGAGCTAGTCTCTGCTGTCAAACTGTCACCGAATTATTAAATATGGAGGGGAAAATGACCCAAACAGTATGTAATGAGCTCCCTTTTCATTCTCTCACTACAAAAGCACATCTGTGGATTGTTAATGACTCTGAAATGGAGGGACCAAATTGATGAGAAAGAAAACTATCTCTCAGGGATAGGGAAAAGGAAAATGAACACACACAATGTTTATAAAGCATAATTTAAAATATAAGGCCTTGGGAAAGTCTGGGAAACAGTATAAAGTGGAATACAAGTGTGAGCTATCTTATCGTTATTCAATTTTACATTCCTTTTATCATCTTACTGTTGTCAGTCATTAATCTTTTAAAGTACACAGAATTATCAAGACACTTGCATTGACAGCGCATGTCTGATTTTTATGAGAAGGCTGCCATGCTGGACTGTTCTTTTTTATTCCACTGGATGATTCTTTATTACATATTCTATTTTAGTTAAAGACAGTGCAGCTGTGATGAAGCACCATGACCAAAAGTAACTAGGGAAGAGAAGGCTTATTTTGATTACAGTGCAATATCACAATTCATAGTCAAAGAGAATCAGGTCAGGAACCTGGAAGCAAAGATGATACAGAGACCACAGAGGAGTGCTGCTTATTGGCTTCCTCCCTGTAGCTTACTCAGTCTACTTTTATATAACATTCACAACCACCAGTCTAGGAGTGACCCCACCACAATGGGCTGAGTATTCCAACATGAAACACTAATTTAAAAAAAAATACACTATAAGCTAGTCTACAGTCTGACATTATAAAGACAATTTCTCGGTTGAGGTTCCTCTTCCCAGATGACACTAGTGTGTGCTAAGTTGTCATAAAACCTAGCTGGTACTCATATCCTTGAGTTGCAATATAAGGACTGGAGAAGGAATCTCAGCTCACTGGGGTTCCATGCTGAGTCCTGCAGGCTGATTCTACATGTCCAGAGTCTTGGGCCACAAGATCCACTTGTTTCAGGATACTTCTGAAAGTCACATACCATACTTCAGCTCAAACACAGGGTTCAAATATAAAAACTTCTACCACATCCCTGGACATACTGATCCCTGTATCTTGATGTTTGATACTACGTAAATTCTCAATAACTCTGGAATCAATTGAAAGGCAATCAATGGAAATGGAGCACCTTGTACACAAGCATGTCAAATAGCTAGTAAGTTAAAAAAAAAACTTTCCCACATCTCTTAGATAATACCCATAAACCATCATTTTTACTCGATCATGTGTAGAGATTCCAAGTTTATCTGTGTTCACAAAGCTTAGAGTAAAAGAAGTTTGACGTCTGTTTTCATACAGAGAAAACAGTGAATTTAAAAGACCACTTTACTTATTACTTGATCTTAAAGTAGTTGATCTGCTCATTCTCATGACGATGGGTCAGCTGTATCTGACAGGTGGCCTCAGGTTAGAGAGATTAAAGAATCACATTTGTCAATATGGGCTGTATAATTCCAGGATGAAGTCACCTTTAATACTCAAGATCGTGAGTTCTATGAGTTAACATGAGAAGTCTCAACACCACTGTACATGTGGGTAAGACACACACACACACACACACACACACACTTTTTAAAGTATCCTTTAAAATAAAGTGCTCTATGTCACCATTCACAGATAGCCTTGGGTAGCTCTTTTCTACACACCCTGTCTATGGAGAATCCAATAGTATCCCACAAATTATGCTGTACCTTCTAAGGTCACAATTTGTTCACTAATAAAAGACAAACAAAAGTAGCTTTGCCTTCACATAAAATGTGTTCATAGATCAAGCAGTATCCTAAGAAGCAAGTACAGGGATTAAATTGGAGTCGCAATTTCCAGGCCAATGCACACCTTAATAGTGTAGCACAGCCCCTCCCTCCATCCTCAGGCACTGGAAATTATAGAATTTAAAAGGAGCAGCTTTAATCACTTCTCTCATCATTTATTCTATACTACCCTGCCCCAGTCAGCTAAACACTGAAGCAACAAGGCCAGTCAATTGCAATGCATTTTTTTTCTATTAAAATATAATAGAAAATTTGACCATTCCACATTCAAAGAGCAAATACATTCTCAGACTGACAACTGCATTCCACTTGCTTCTCCTGAGAGCCGAGTGTGACAGATGCCTGGGCTGTAATTGCCAATCAGCCTTTACATGGCAGCTGAAAACACAATACATCACTTTGATCTCCTTTGCTCTAAACACATCCACAATCAAGAAAGCTGAACAAGAAATGAGAAATTGGCATCATTTCCAGAAGCTGTCACTGGAGGTGCTTAAATACTGGAACGTATATTTTCCTCATTTTTTTATTTCTCAGTTTCGGAGACACTGTTAAAGAACTGAACAACAACCAAAATTCTCTATACTTAATCATACAAATAAACACGCACCTACACACTAAATTTAACTATAAGTATATTTAATTAAATTCTACTTCAGCAGTCTCCTTTTCTAGATATTTTTTGAAGCAAAAAAATAAAAGGCAAGGTTGGCGCTCTCAGCTGATTCTGAAACGAAGTTTAGACATGCTGTACTCACACTTTGCAGGGAGGTCGTAGCCACATGTGATTTTTGCATGTCCAGTCTCACAGCCGTTCAGGTTCCGACACTCAGCTAACAAACAGGGGCCAGCAGCTCTGTGAATACAGCCATCCACTAGGGGAGAGAGAGAACAAAGTTAGCCTATGCTTGACCTTTAGGAAATAAATGTATAAAAGGACATGAGGAAAAAAAAAGAAATCAGTTTCTTCCTCCTCAAACCATAGCTTCATGTAGGAAAACTCATGGTGAATCTCAATCTCTCTCTCTCTCTCTCTCTCTCTCTCTCTCTCTCTCTCTCTCTCT